ATAGCGGCAGTCCTTGTCTGGCAGCATCTTGACAAAGGTGGCGTAGGGGTCGTCTACAGTCTGGCCCACATCACCTACCAGGATCTCCTTGCCCTCCTCCAGGATGATGTTCTTCTTGTCCTCGCTCAGGCAGAAGAGTACCGCCTTCTTGCGCTTCTTCACCTCCTCTGGTGTTGAGGACTTGCGCACCTTCATGTCATTGAACACTTTGATGACACCGTCAGAGACCGCCACGCCGGAGGCCATGTTTCCGGAAGCGAAAGGGAGATAGCAAGGAGAGTCAGAAAAGATGAGAGCCGCTGCAGCTGCTGCCGGGATCCGACTGAACCCTATTGAAACTTTTTAATGATTAAAAACTACAAAAGGTTTGAATGTTATTAACAGAAGAACAGGTAAATAAATTTCATATATTCACATAATTCAGCTAATCAAAAGTGTGAATTCTATGTTTATTGACTCAAAAGGATGCATATGATGTATTTTTAAAGGGAAAAAGAGAGTGCATATATATTGATGGATATATTACTTCATTTTTGTAAAATGATAAACAAAACCAGTGAGGGTGTGCATGTGAGAGAGAGAGAGAGAGAGAGAGAGGGGAAAGATGGTGAGAAGGTGAGTATGTGTATATGCATTGGTTTGCACCACCACGTGGAAAGGCAGGTTATTTCGGTTAGGTGGGAGAAAGAGTATGTAAAGCATGGGGTAGTGAATCTTCCTTTATCTTCGTGGAACTTTTGCTTCGTTCAGTTGCTATAATTAGCATGTGTTAGTGTTATAATTCATAAGCATTGATCAAAATTAAGATTTTAAATTGCTGTCTGAGGAAGCGTCAGCTTACTTATCCATCTGTAACTCTTCTCCCTGTAGCAAATTCATGGTTGATCAAGCAAAAGTTCTTAATAACTGTCTACCTTTGATAATGAAGGACTCTTCTACCCAGAGGCACAGTATAAACTAGATGTCCTCTCACGTTCTTTTTGACTCTGCACATATACTTATGTTCATATATTTATTCATCCATATTAAACTATATGAAACTACATGACACATTTTAGCCCCAGATATTGTTCTCCCATATAACTCTGTCTCTGTACAATTAGAAAGTATATTACAATGGAGTCAAGTGAATGACAGACTTTGAAGAAGTATCAATTAGAAAACTCTCATTAATTAATATATATGCACAAGTTGAGAATCCTTCATTCCTCATACATATATATACAAATAGTAGAAACGTATATGTGCAAACTGAGATAGAAATAAAGATGATATGAGAAAATAATGCAACTAGTTAACCATTTTAAAGCAATAGTGTTTGCTAATCTAGCAAACCATATTTTTAACTATTCATTTGCTCCTTGATTTTATCCCTCTGTTCTTTCAGTTATTATATTATATGTAATAAATCCTTTCCACCTCAGAACTTCTAAAGGATTCTAAGCATCCTCCTTATACTAAAAAATTAACGTTGAGGAAATTAATGGGCAGAATAATGAATGCCTTCTCTTTCTTTCCTCTCAGAGAGGAATGAGAACAGAAGGCACTAGAGATAATTTTCCATAACAGTTTTAATTAACTTAAATATGGAACGAAATTAAAAAATTATACAAAGAAAACTAGAGCTGTGTTATGGCTGTGTTATTCTCTTCCCCATTACACCAGCAGACCACAACTACACAACAACAATAAAAATCTAGAGAAACTTTCAACCATTTCTCCTTCCAAAACTGAGTTCGGGGAGGCAAGAATCAGATCTCTGTATTTCATAAATATTCCTACTGTGGTGTCTTCTATTCTACCATATTCAATAATTAGATCAATATGGGTTAAAATATCTCTTTGTAAATGTTTTCTGTAAGTAATCCAAGAGTGTAATAAATAAATAATTGCTGCTTGAGCCCTGGATGGCAAAGAGAAAATAAAAGCATCCCCCTCTTCTTCCTCTGATTCCCAGGAAATTTCCAGATACAAATACTCTCTACATGTGATATTCTTGTATATACATGCAGGCAATCCATTTATTGTGGAGAAATGTGGGATGTGGTCTATAATCACATGACTTAGTAAATTACAGAATGACCTTATGGGCAACACTGATATTAGGATACATGTACTGGGAATTGGTTAAGGGTATGAACTTTGTAGTCAAACCACTTGGACACCTGTCCTGCTCCACTCGTTAGTATCTAAGGATGTTGGTGACTTAGTTTCTCTAAACTCAGCTTTATCATTCTCGATTGCAGTGCCTATTTCATGAGATCATGAAGATTACATAAAGGGTTGCTTGCCAAGGGCTTAGCAAAGTTCCGGGCACATAGTCAGTGGTCTATATATGTTAGCCCTTGATGATATTATGTTCTGGGCCATTTCTTGCATTCACTGACCCAGAAAAATTGTTTTGTTGGACTTCTGTATGCTCCCATTTTCCAGGTCCTGCAGTAGATTAAGCAAAACAAAACAAAACACCCAAACATTCAATGTAGGATCAAGGTAAGCTAAACAGAAATACAGTAATGCCCAGGTCAATTAGACCAAGAGAAATTGTGACATCAAAGAAAATGTAATGGAAAATACTCTCCAGAACTTCCATGGTGCTTGGAAAGTAGGCAAAGGTGATAGCATCAGAGGAAGACAACCCAGAGAAGCCTACCTTTGCAGGACAAAAATAGCAATTTCAGGTGATTTTAACCAATCTTTAAATTCTACTTTTTGAGATTGTCACTATGAGGAGTGTGGAAATGGTTATAAAGTTGTTTTGTTTTTGTTTTTGTTTTTAGTTCTGCCTGTAATAGCTGGTTGCTATGAGCCAGGAAAAGAGGCAGGACAGGTGAAGAGATAATAGGAAACGATGGAAGGGGTGAGGAGAAAACTTGATTCATTCTATATTATTGTAGACTATTGCAAGCTTATGACAGCAGGCTCACTTGTCTAAAAAAGTGGACAAGATTAGGGAAAAAGATAAAAGAACCAGCATTTATGAATCAACTACTATGTGCTAAGCACTCAGCTAAGTGCCTTATTTATATGATTTTACTTAATTCTTTCATTAATCCCACAAGGATGTTCACTCAGAATAGAGTGAATTACCCTGGGGTAACAACTCTTGGTGGCTTTCAACAGCCAGATTTTAGACCCATGTAATTCTCAAAGGCAGTTCCTTTCCCTGTGGTGCCTCAGACTTGGAACCCCATATCCTATCAATACATGTTTCCAAGATGGTCCCAGAAAAGAAAGATACTTCTGTAAAGTTTTATAATGCCAATTAATACTTTTTCCCCAGCAATGACATTACCTCCCCTCATATTTCTTTGGCCAAAGCAGATTGTAGTCCCTACATTCCCTCAACGGGCAAGAGAATGCATTTCTCTCCTGTGCCCCAAAGCACAAGACCCGGAAATTCTGGTGAGGCGCATTGATGTCTATCGAAAAAGAGGACTTCTTGTTTTGAAGGTGAGGAATCTGAGAATCAGCGGAATTAACAATTTTGGCGAAACCACTCTGTTCTTAGACTGGTGGCATTGGAATGTCAGACTCCCCAATCTATATACTCTTTCCATCGCATGACTTTGCTTCACATACTTTCCCTTTCATATTTACATTAATGTGGCCCACAGAACACAGTTTCAGCTTCAATCAGTGCCGAAGTGAGAAGTGAGCACTGTAAGCTATTCCAGAGCTGGTCACATGCAAATAATGGCATTCATTATTATAATAACACCTAATATCATCCTCATGTATTTGGGAGTGAGGTATTTTTATTCGTTGTTAATGAAATAAAATGTTTTCAACTTTGCAGGGTCGGTGCATTTTTTGTTGTTTTGTTTTCTAAAGGATTTTGACAACCAGGTGTCCTGAAGAAACCTCTCTCTCATGCACTTACAGCATAGTAAAATCCATGGCATGCAGTTCAAAGAAAGTGCACCAATTAGGCTAAGAACATTTTCCATATTCAAGGAAGCCTTCTCCACATTTGAGCATGGTCTATGGATCAGTGAAGATATTAGTTCAAAGGGACTAGTCAGTTTAGTAAAATAAGTACCTTGGTTACCCATTAAATTTGCCTTTGTAAATAAAGTACAGTGAGTTTCCCTTTGATCTTATGAAGATAGTTCAGCATGCTATACATAGCACAGAGATGAAAGTAGACAAGTCTGCTTAAAATGAAATATGCCAGCAAGTGATATAAAGCTTTCAAACTCTTTTGAGCAGAAGCAGAAGTAATCTTGTAAGTAATGTCCTTTCTTTGCAATATTTTCCTGGGGCATTTGGCATTAATTTCAGGTTATTTTTGATTAATATGAGTCAACAATGGGCACTGCAGGGGAAATGTTATAAAATATTAGGCATAAATATGATCAATGATTTATGGTAGGCTGCATCTATCTGTTTCCATTTCTTGAAAATTACGTCTACCTCTCATATTATTTTGTCAAGAATCCCTTGGCACTGTCCTCTCCAGCCAGGGCATCAAATTTTTTAAACTTAATAAAAATGCCTCCGTGTCCTTATATTTTATTTTCCCCTGGCTGGTTGACATGACTTGTCATTATTGGTACAGGATGGTGCATTTAAAAAATAGAAAATAGGAAAAGTTAGATTGTTGTATTTTCCATTTCAATGATCCATTCCTAGCTTCAGGTAGATTTCTTCTGGTGCACTTCCCTCCTCAAATGTCAAGTTGTATCCTAGTTTTTAAAAAATTCAGGCCAAGGCTTTTGCCAATATTTAGCTTGTATTCTGAGAGCTGGCATTAGAAGAGAGGATTTGAACCCAAAGGAATAAATCCTTATTGGAAGAATTTTCGACACAGATAACAGATGGGCTGCAAAAAAGAGGACTGAATCATGTGCAGCAAGTGGCTCCCACTGGCATTCTTTTTTTTTTTTTTAAGTGATCTCTACACTCAATGTGGGTCTTGAACTCACAACCCCGAGATCAAGAGTCACATGCTGTACAGACTGAGCCAGCCAGGTGCCCCTTCCACTGGCATTCTTGCCACATGTTTGGGAAGATGACCCTGGTTGAGGGATATACATAATATGTATGATAATTCCTACTCCTGCTTTGTGGCAATCTGATTTTATAGTCTTTTTAAAAGTTTGTTGAAGAAACCTTATTTTTTGCAACCCTAAATTACTTATAAGACATGACTGCATTTTTATTTGACAATTTAAAAATGTATCTGTTTTTCAACTGAGTCATTATCATAAACAATGTTTTCCATTTTTTGTTTAGAAGTTATTTTGAATAAATTAAAATTGTGTCCATATTTGACAATGTGTTTCTTGAAGATTAAAATAAATTTCT